TTGACTTACTTCACTCTATAACAGGCTCTAGGTTCCTCTACCTCACTAGAATTGACTCAAATTCATTCCTTTTTATGGCTAAGTAATATTCCATTGTATATATGTGCCACAACTTCTTTATCCATTCATCTGTTGATGGACATCTAGGCTGCTTCCATGTCCTAGCTATTGCAAATAATGCTGCAATAAACAGTGGGGTTCATGTGTCTTTTTCAGTTATGGTTTTCTCAAGGTATATGTCCAGTAGTGAGACTGCTGAGTCATACTCTTATCCCCCTTTTTACAGAAGAGGACAGGGTCCCCAAGATCTCATTTTATATATTGATATATGTTAGTTCTTATATACCCAATTTGGAAACCAAAAAGATTAAATAATGGAGCAATCTTTCTCTGTGTAAGGCCCAGCAGACTAAATTTTGAAGTTCTTCTAAGCCCCTAATAAAACAGTGATCATCAGCTAAATGTACAAACTATTAGGTATTGAGATAATCTTACCTCTTAGCTTATTGAGGAAAATTAGCCTTAAAGTACATTTGGAAATAATGGTGTATAAAATTTTCCTAACTCCTCAAAGGATGTTTCTAATAGCCAAAAATTTTACCTACTGGCCAGAAATTCAGAAGATTCACAATGGAAGGATTAAATAAGGTATAATATGTAAACATATTAATTGCTATTTTGTATACATGACACTAATATTAAAAATCAACTGTGCTTCAATTTTTAAAAGGAAATGGAAGAAATAGGTAATTATCTAAATATATTTGTGGCAGGCAGAATAATTCTGGTCCTGATAGGTCCTGATAATTGTAGGTCCTGATAGGTATCTACATTTAGTCCCCAGAACCTATGAATATGTCACCCACATGGCAAAAGAGATTTTGTCAGATGTGATTGCATTAGGGGTCTTGAAATGAGACCGTGGGTTGTCTGCCTTGGCTCAAGGTAATCACAATAGTCCTTACATGTGCAAGAGGCAAGCAGAACAAGTTAAAGGAGTTGTGAAGACAGACAGGTTGGAATAAGTGAGTGAATAAGTTCAGTCGCTCAGTCACGTCTGACTCTTTGCAACCCCATGGACTGCAGCACGCCAGGCCTCCCTGTCCTTCACCTACTCCTACAGTCCACTCAAACTCATGTCCATTGAGTCGGTGATGCCATCCAGCCATCTCATCCTCTGTTGTCCCCTTCTCCTCCCGACTTCAATCTTTCCCAGCATCAGGGTCTTCTCAAGTGATTCCATTCTTCACATCAGGTGGCCAAAGTATTGGACTTTCAGCTTCAGTGTCAGTCTTCCAATGAATATTCAGGACTGATTTCCTTTAAGATGGACTGGTTGCATCTCCTTGCAGTCCAAGGGACTCTCAAGAGTCATCTCCAACAACACAGTTCAAAAGCATCAATTCTTTGGTGCTCAGCTTTCTTTATTCAACTCTCACATCCATATATGACCACAGGAAACACCATAGCTTTGACTCGACAGACCTTTGTTGGCAAAGTAATGTCTCTGCTTTTTAATATGCTGTCTAGGTTGGTCATAGCTTCTCTTCCAAGAAGCAAGCGACAGTCACCATCTGCAGTGATTTTGGAGTCCAGAAAAATAAAGTCAGCCACTGTTTCCACCGTTTCCCCATCTATTTGCCATGAAGTGATGGGACCGGATGCCATGACCTTAGTTTCCTGAATGTTGAGTTTTAAGTCAACTTTTGCACTCTCATCTTTCACTTTCATCAAGAGGCTCTTTAATTCTTCACTTTCTGCCATAAGGATGGTGTCATCTGTGTATCTGAGGTTATTGATATTTCTCCCAGCAATCTTGATTCCAGCTTGTGCTTCATCCAGCCTGGCATTTTGCATGATATATTCTGCATATAAGTTAAATAAGCAGGGTGACAGTATACAGCCTTGGCGTACTCCTGTCCCAATTTAGAACAAGTCTCTTCTTCCATGTCCAGTTCTAACTGTTGCTTCTTGACCTGCCTACAGATTTCTCAAGAGGCAGGTCAGGCGGTCTGGTATTCCCATCTCTTTAAGATTTTCCACAGTTTGTTGTGATCCACACAGTCAAAGGCTTTGGCATAGTCAATAAAGCAAAAGTAGATGCTTTTATGGAATTCTCTTGCTTTTTCAACGATCTAGCGGATGTTGGCAATTTGAGCTCTGGTTCCTCTGCCTTTTCTAAATCCATCTTGAACATCTGGAAGTTTACGGTTCATGTACTGTTGAAGCCTGGCTTGGAGAATTCTGAGTGATATCCAGTTGCTGGCTGGGGGCCCAAACCAAGGAATGCGGGCACACTCTAGAGGCTGGAAAAGGCAAGGAAACAGATTCTCCCCCCAAACCTCCTGCCCTGCTTACTTCTCTATTTTAGCTCCGTGAGACCCATTTCAAAGTTCTGACCTCAGAACTACAAGATAATAAATTTACGTCATTTTAGGCCACTATGTTTCTTTGTGTGTTACAGCACCATAGAAAGTATTTTGGTTATTAAAGTTAACGTGCAGTTTTTGTGAGAAAATATTGATCAAGGTGAAAGTGTTAGTCTCTCTGTTGTGTCCAACTCTGTCATCCCATGACCTGTAGCCCTCCAGGCTCCTCTGCCCATGGAACTGTCCAGGCAAGAATCCTGGATATGGTAGCCATTCCCATCTCCAGGGGATCTTTCCAACCCAGGGATTGAACCTGAGTCTCCTGCTTTGCAGGAGGATTCTTTACTGTGTGAGCGACCAGGGAAGCCCATATTGATCAAAACTGTCAGCAAATTTCTGTGATCTTCTTTTTGTGTGTGCTCAGTGGTACTATAGAGGCTTCTCAGGTAGCTCAGTGGTAAAGAATCCTCCTGCCAATGCAGGAGAATCAGGAGATGCATTCAGTCCCTGTGTTGGGAAGATCCCCTGGAGAAGGAAATGGCAACATACTCCAGTTTCCTTGCCTAGAAAATCCCTTGGACACCACTCCAGTTTTCTTGCATGGGAAATCCTGTGGACAGAGGAGCCTGGTGGGCTACAGTCCATGAGGTTTCAAGAGTCAGACACTACTTAAAGACTAAACCACCACCACCACCATAGAATTCCCTCCATGAGAACTTATGTACAAATCCATGTCTTAAGGTCTCAGTACCAGAAACAGGTAAGCTGTTTCCAAGCAGAGGATTATTTTTTAAAACTCTTTTAGAAATACATAATATACATCATATTGATACATTTGTCAAAAAACACAGAACTACAAAGAATGAACCCAAATGTAAATTATGGACTTTTTTGATGTTAACACTACTGGTTCATCACTTACAACAAATGTACCACTAATGCAAGATGTTAATAGTAGGAGAAACTGGAGGAGAGGGAGTATGTGGGAACTCTCCGTAGTTTCAGTTCAATTGTTCTGTGAATCTAAAACCTCTCTAAAAACTAAAGGTCTTTTGTCAAAGTATACAACAATAAAGTATACACATAGGAGATTCTGGGAAGATAACTGCAGCAGCATAGCTTTTCAATCCCCTTGAATCCTCACATAAAAACAGAGCAACTAGAAAGCAAAACTAAATGCTATGAATATTCACAATAAAACTCCAGTGATAAATTATCCCTGTGAATCCCCAGATGAAGGCAAGCGGGGACAAATCAACAATCCAGTGCTGCACAGTATCAGCATCAATATAAGAACAAAGAAGAAACGGGGCAGTGTCTGATGCAATCGAGAACAGAACTCCAAAATAGCAACAGGTACAGAAGGCACAGGTGAAATGGAGTGTGTAAGGGACACCCGTAAGGACTGAGGGGGCTGGAGCAGTCTGATTCCTATGAACTCTCGGAACTCATGTCCCAGGGCTTCTCTCCAGAACAGGACTCCAAGCTGGAGAGAAAATTCAGGGAGGAGAATCAAAATTGAGCAAGGACGAGAGAGAGAGAGAGAGAGAGGCAAGGTCCTGATCAAAGTCCAGGAGAACAGATATGGCAAATCTCAGAAAGCAGGCTTCATATTTTAATATTATACCAAAACACAGAGGAAGTTCTGTGAAGTTATGAAAGTGTCCCTGCCTTACTCTAAAGTCCAAGAAAAATACATAAAAGTCAGCAACAAAAAAAAGGATTTAGGTTGAATGCTCATGAAGTTTTTATGTTTAAAAAAAAAAACTAAGGAGCAAATTAACACCCCTACAAACAATAGTGTGTCCAGAAAGACATATCCACAAAACAGATCAAAACTGTAACCTATCATTTCAAAATGACCTGTAAGATGTTAAGTAGTGGAACATCAGGGTAGAACACTACCAGCATCTTTGTAGAATCCCAAGTGTGCAGGATGTGTGTGTGTGTGTGTGTGCGTGTGCATTGTTAGACTGTCCTTCTTGGTGTGTAGGAGCTCTTCATACTTAAAATCCTTCGTCAGATGTGTTTTTGCAAATACCTCCTTCCACTCTGAGGGTGCCTTTTCATTATTACTACTGGGATCCTTCAGTTAATAAAAATTCTCGACTATAATGAAGTTCAACTTATCAATATATTTCCTTTATGGTTTGTGATTTTTGGATTTTGTCAAGGAATATTACCCTCTATGGTCATGAAGATCTTCCAGGTTATCTTCTCAGTGGGGAGTTGGGGTCATTCTGGGTGAGGAGATGGCAACCACACCAGTATTCTTGCATGGAAAATCCCAAGGACAGAGGAGCATGGCAGGCTACAGTCTATGGGGTCATAAAGAGTCGGACACAACTGAGTGACTAAACAACAACAGTCATGAAGATCTTCCAGGTTGTCTTCTAGAAGTTTTACTGTTGTACCTTTCATGTTTATATCTACAATCCATCTGGAATTGATTTTTGTGCATGAGATCTAATAGGGTCAAGGCTCTTTTTTTTTTTCCATCAGCTATCCAATGGATCTAGCACCCTTTCATAAAAAGATCATATTTTCTCTGCCAGACTGCAGGGACACCTTCATTGTAAATCAGGTGTCCACATATGCGTGGGTCTGTGTCTATGCACTCTATTCTACTGCATGAGTCTTTTTGTCTATCTCAAACCTAATACACCCAAAACTGAATTCCTGATCTTCTTCCCTAAGCCTGTTCCTCTTACTGTCTGCCCCGTCTCAGCTGTGGACAATTTGATACTTCCAGTGGCTCAGGCCAAAATCCTTGGTATCACCCTGACTTCTTTCTCTCTCTTATACTCCACTTGTAATTCATCAGACCCTACTGCCTTAACGTGCAAGTACATCTGGAATAACTACCTCTACCACTCCCACCCTGGTCCAAGCCAACATCGCCCTCATCTAGACTACTGCAATAACTTCCTAACTGGTCACCCTGATTAGCGGTACCTGATTGGATGAAAGGCATGGGAGAGAAGGAGAAGTCTGTTACCATCCAGGCTTTTGGGTCTGGATGGTGGAAACTGCTTTCCAAAGTGGGAAAGGAAAGAAGTTGATTTGGGGGCAGAGGGAAGAAAATCACCCTTTCAGCCTCTTCTCTATCTAACAGAAAAAGTAATACTGTTAAGCTAGCTCATGTAAGTCAGATCATGTCCTTGCTCTACTCATAACCTTCCAACGGTGCCCCATCTCTCCCAGTGTAAAAGCCAAAGTCCTTACAATGACAAAGTTCTTTGCAATTTAGCCTTCTAGCCTTCCTAGCTCTTTCTATATACTTCACTAACCTTGATGTAGCCACAGTAGCCTCTTTGACATGCCTTGAAAAACCAAGCCTACTCCCACCTCAGCCTTTACATTTGCCATCTTCCCAAATACCTGAATGGTTTGCTCCTTCCTTTTCAAGTCTTTGTTAACATATCATCTTTTTAGGGAGGTTTTACCCTGACTAGCCTATTTAATTTTAATCTAATCCCCATTCTGGTACTTCCTATCAGCTTTTTCTACTTTATCTTTCTCCTTAATTCTGATCACCTTCTAACTTTGAACTCCACAAAAGCAAAGTTGAGAAAAACCAAGCCAGCATTTTATAATGAGAACCATACAACAGAATCTTCTGAGGAATGCATCATATTAATAACACCCATAAAAGACTTTAAAATATTTTTGTATAATTTTTCACTGCTCTAAGCCTAGCACTCAGAAGAGAACCTGATATATAGTAGATGTTTAATAAACCCTTTATTGAGTAGACTCAATACATGAATGAATGAATGAACCAAGCACATCTTAAATATTGCCAACATTTAAAGGTTTAATAAAAGGGGATGAACTTTCAAAGGAGACAGAAGAAACAACTGGAGATGGCAAAAGACCCAAGTGAGTCTAATACCCAGACATAAAGGGAATTTCCTGAGTGACAGAGTATCTTTTGTTATTCATAACAAGCCCTTTTCAACCATACCTGAATTTATACTAGTGAGGTTAGTGAAGAGTATTACTCAGAGCAGAGACCCTAAATTATCTTTAGAATTGGGGAACCAACTATGTGATTAGAGTTTGGAACTCTCAGTCCACCTGCTGACCTCTAGAGAGGGAGAGGTATTAGAGGTTGAGTTCAATCACCAGTGGCAAACGAGTAAATCAGTTGTGCCTATATGATGAAACCTCAAGTAAAAACTCTGACAAGGTTTGAGGGAGAGTTCAAGTTGGTGAACTTGCTGTGCTGGGAGGGCGTGGAAGTTCTGCAGCAATGCTCATCCACCCTCACACCTCTACCCCAGACCTTGCATTTGGCTGTCTCTGAGTTATATCCTTCACAATAAAATTGCTATGGAAACTATATGCTTTTCTGAGTTTGTGAATTACTGGATTGTGGCAGGGTGTGCAGGGAGGGAGGCATGAGACTCTCTAAATTTATAATTCAGCCAGGCAGAAGTGGTGGTAAGCTGGGCACCCCATTTGTAGCCGGTATCTGCAATGGGAGCAGTCTTATGGGATTAAACCCTTAATCCAAGGTGTGTACTGACTCCAAGCAGTGGGAGTTTTAATTGAATTAAATTACTGAACACCCAGTTGGTATCAGAAAATCGGAGTATTGATCATTATTTGAAAAAATGAAACAGCCATGAGGGGGACAGAATCTGTTTGAACCCAGCCTTTGTACCACAATGTAGTTAAAGAGTAATTAAGTTTGCTAAATCATGCCACATGAAAAGAAAACAGGGCAAAGGACAGATGTCCCAAAATTTAATAAGAAAGTAAATTATTCCAAGGACCTTCCTGGCAGTCCAGTGGTTAAGATACTGTGCTTCCACAGTACAAGGTGCAGGTATGAACTCTGGCCAGGCAATTAAGAGCTTGCATGCCACGAGGCACAGCCAGAAAGTTTTAAAAAGAAACAAAGTAAATGATTGCACAAAGAGGAAAATTTCCAGAGACATAGAAATTAAACTTGGATGAGATAATGTTGAGGAAACCAAGAGAAAAGGAAGTTTAAAGGAAAGTAATCAATACTGTTAACTGCTATGAAGTGATTAAATAAGAGAAGGCTTGACAAATATCTACTGAATTTAGTAGCCATGAATGGCAATTCAAAGAGTACCTGGGGCCTGAACTTAATGAGTTGAAAAATTTGTTTCTTTCTCCCCTTGGGAACTGTGGCTGTGGTAGAGAGAAGGGGTAGCAATGGCATAGTGTTATAGGAATGAGGGTTTCTATCATTATTGATTGTTCAATACTGGGTGAAAGAGGCTTGAGCAGGTTTAAATGGAAATGGGCCAGAAGACAGTTCAGTCGCTTCTGACTTTTTGCGACCCCATGGACTGCAGCATGGACTGCAGCACACCAAGCCTCCCTGTCCATCACCAACTCCCAGAGTCCACTCAAACTCATGTCCATTGAGTCGGTGATGTCATCCAGCCATCTCATCCTGTCGTCCCCTTCTCCTCCTGACTTCAATCTTTCCCAGCATCAGGGTCTTTTCAAATGAGTCAGTTCTTCTCATCTGGCCAAAGTATTAGAGTTTCAGCTTCAGCATCACTCCTTCCAGTGAATGTTGAGGACTGATTTCCTTTAAGATGGACTGGTTGGATCAGCCAGAAGTGGAGAGTGCTTAACGGTAGGTGCCAGGCCCTCAGCTCAAGAGTCTGGTCAGAAAATAGGCTGAACCGCTATGGAGAACAGTGTGGAGATTTCTTAAAAAACTGGAAATAGAACTGCCATATGACCCAGCAATCCCACTTCTGGGCACACACAGTGAGGAAACCAGATCTGAAAGAGACACATGCACCCCAATGTTCATCGCAGCACTGTTTATAATAGCCAGGACATGGAAGCAACCTAGATGCCCATCAGCAGACGAATGGATGAGGAAGCTGTGGTACATATACACCATGGAATATTACTCAGCCATTAAAAAGAATTCATTTGAACCAGTTCTAATGAGATGGATGAAACTGGAGCCCATTATACAGAGGGAAGTAAGCCAGAAAGACAAAGACCATTACAGCATACTAACACATATATATGGAATTGAGAAAGATGGTAATGATAACCCTATATGCAAAACAGAAAAAGAGACACAGATGTACAGAGCAGACTTTTGGACTGTGGGAGAAGGTGAGGGTGGGATGTTTCAAGAGAACAGCATCGAAACATGTATATTATCTAGAGTGAAACAGATCACCAGCCCAGGTTGGATGCATGAGACAAGTGCTCGGGCCTGGTGCACTGGGAAGACCCAGAGGGATCGGGTGGAGAGGGAGGTGGGAGGGGGGATCGGAATGGGGAATACATGTAAATCCATGGCTGATTCATGTCAATGTATGACAAAACCCAAATTCAACTAATAAAAATAAATGAAAAAAAAATAGGCTGAAAAGTTCTTACTTTTATTTTTATAATTTCTGTTGTTAAATTTTCTTAGTATGTACAATTGATATTGTCTCTGTATTTAAAAAAAAAAAAAAGGTGCCAAAAAAAGAAAGATCCTTATTTTTAAAAACAATTCTTCACCCCCTAGCTGCTGCCCTCTCCCCTCCTTGGGGCAAGCTGTCTGAAGAACAGTCTGTTCCTGATTGTACGCATCTATTCACAGGACTTCCCTGGTGGCTCAGTTGGAAAAGAATCCACGTGCAATATGGTAGACCTGGGTTCGATTCCTGGGTTGGGAAGATCCCCTGGAGAAGGGAACGGTACCCACTTCAGTATTCTGGCCTGGAGAATTCCATGGACAGAGGAGCCTGGCGGGCTACAGTCCATGAGTTGCAAAGAGTCAGACACAACTGAGCAACTTTCATGCATACATATATTCACTTTCTACTCATCCTCCACGCCCTCCAGTCTAGCCTCCGGCATCACTTCATCTAAATAGCATTTGTTGAGGTCTCAAATATGTTCTGTGTAATTAAATCAAAGGGCATTTTCAGGTCTCTCTCTCAAATTCCTGACTCTTTTATTTGCTCACTGGGCATCTCCACAGGTATGTCTAAAACAGAGCTCACCCTTCTTCCCTCTGCCCCCAAACATTTCTCCTTTCCCCACTTTGAAGGGTACCTTCCACCATCCCCCATCCAAGCTCAGAAACCAAGTGACACCCTGATTCCTCCTCTCTCACATGGCCCCGGTCTCATCCATTACCTAATCCCTTCACTCCCATCCACCCCCACAGAGTCTCAAGTGTATCCTAATTTCAGTACAATTTTTTTTAAGATTTTTTTGACCATTTTTTTAAGAATTCGCTACAATATTGCTTCTGTTTTATGTTTTGTTTTTTTGGCTGTGAGGCCTCTGGGACCCCAGATCCCCGACCAACCAAGGATCGAACAACACCCCCAACATTGGAAGGTGAAATGTCAACCACTGGACTGCTAGGGAAGTCCCAGTTCCAATACAATTCTGATGGCCTCCAACATGACCTTTCCGAAATGCCCCTTAAGCAGTGTCACTGCTCTGCTAGCAGTCCTCCTTGGCTCCTGCTGCCCAAAGTCCCAGAGTAGGCCCCCAGCATGTCATTAATAGTGCAGGTGGTAACGGTCCTTCGGGATCTTGAAGGCCCTGCCTGCTGCTGCAGCCTCATCTCTCGCTACATCCCGGTCCTAACCGTGCCCAAACCCCACAGAAACTGGTAGTAGTTCCCTGACTGAGTGACCCGATGCTGTCCTCTGGCATGGAGGGTAACACCTGGACACACTGCACTTGCAGTGTCCTCTCCCACCTCATTCCTGGGCCAACTCCTGCCCCTTGTGACTTAACTCAGATGTCACTTGCTCAGAGATTCAGTAACTCACACAGGGACAGTATTAATGTTAATCTGTTGCAGCTTTCCTTTTCAAGACTCTTAAGGCATTTGAGTTAGTGTCTAATCCTAAAGGGTTTTATACAACAGGAAAGAAAGTATGGCCTATAGTAAAGCTACAACTACAGAAGCGGATTTGTTTCTTTAG